CTTGGATTTCATGCATGCATTGAGAAGATTAGGGAGGACACTCTTCTAGGCATGATGTGGACAAAACAAACTGCACTGTTAACACTGACACATTTTGGAGACATTACCAGTCTGAGTAAGAGACAGCAGTGGGGTACGCCTGACAGAGTGAGTCATGTGATATGAGACAGCAACGCAAGGCGGGACAGGGCCTGGCCAGCTCAATAAACCCAGGACTGGGCAAAGCTTTACACAGAGGGTGACCTCTACGCCAAAACCCGAAGAGGGCAGGAAACGAGGCCACACGGACCCAGAGCGAGAGGATTTGTCCATGCAAGAAGTACGTTTAGCACATGGGAAGCCTCCAGGGGGCTGCCCAGCCCAGCCTGCTGTTTGTCCAGAGTTGCAGGGGTGAGGAGGAGGGAAACAGAGGTGAGCTCAGGGAGTGGGCGGAGCTTTGCAGGTTGTGGGGCTGTAAGGAAACGCAAAGCCATTACTCCCACGTGAGCCAAGGAATGACATGATCTGTTGACGACCGCCTGGCAAATGGAGTCCAGGGTGACAGGGTCTGATGGAGAGAGCAGCCAATCTGATTTGCATATCATGTATGACAGAAAAGAGAGCTCAAAGTTCACCCTACACAAGAGACCTGAAAGGGTGGCACTGTGATAGCTTGAGAGGAAAAGCACAGGGAGCACAGTGGGGCAGGTGGCTGAGAGTAGAGATGTGGGGAGCCTGGGACTTGATGTTGGATACACCAGTGTAGTTTCTGAGCTGTCAGGTCAGTCGGAGGCAAGTATGTGCATTCAAAGGATACAGTGACAGATCGAGGTATGTACATACATAAACATTAGTTACATACATTTGGATTCTTAACATGTCCTCAATACTTAAACCATGAAACTGAGTGGAGGGAGGAGATGGTGAAATAGCCTGGAGGTGGCAGGTGAGGAAGCTGGGAAGCTCCAGAGACAGAAAAAGGAGGGGACTGGAGGTGGGAGGTGGGAGAACAATGCATTGAGTACCATGCACTGGAATGCAAGTGGACACTGCCCAGAACACAGAGCCTGACTGCATACTCACTCATTTAGTCACTCAACAAACACCACACTAACACTCACTGTGGATCAGACACAGTTCCCAGTAAAGCCACAGTGTTTCAAGATACCACAAAAGGAGCAGCCATGCCATCCAGAAAGGCTACACAAGGGCAGCGTCTGATGACAGGACTAGAAAGAGAAGTGAAAAGGTAGCCACGGAAGGCAGGCCCATGGAAGGCAGGCAGGGCGAGCAGAAACCAGAAGAGTGGAAGGAAGCATTCCCAAGGGCCTGAAGTTAATTAAGAGCGATGCTGCCACATCCCAACAGGCCTGAAAAAAATTTCACACGAGAACCTCAGAACAAAGCAGGAACAGGTGAGACGGGAGCGAGTGAGACAGAGTCTCACTGTCCTTACAGACTTTAAAGGAGTCTGAACTTTGCCTCCAAGGGCAAGGGGAGCCAGCACACTGCTGGGAGCTCTCTGATTATGGCAGGGACAGAGCTCAGGGAGGGGCCAAGGTGTAGCTGTGGGGCTGCTCCTGAGGAAGCCTGTTTCCGGGGTTCACACGGTACAGCTGACCTGAAGCCAGGCAGATTCCTTGAGGCTTTGGATGTGCAGAACAAGGAAGGAGAGAGTGAAGCACTGGGAGCAGCGGGCTCTTCCAAGGAGGGCACCGGGAGAGGGGAGGGGTGGAGTCCGCAGTGTGCTATGCCTCAGGCTATCCCCAAACACTCAGCAGGAAACCAGCAATTGCACACCCGGGTCTAGAGACCAACCCTAAAATCCAGGATACCGCTGCAGATTTGCAGCCACCACGGAGGAGTTAAAACCACAGCAGAGTGCTGAGACCCGAGGAGAAAAGAGCACAGAAGCGGAAAAGACGTGGCAGGGATAAAACCAACATGAATGAGACATGCAAAAGATAAAAAAGGCAGAGTGAGCCGGCACCTGCTGAGGAGTCGATCTGAAACATTGTGTGTGTATTCCAGAAGGAAAGGCCAAAACATGGGTTCATAGAAAGCTGTTTACAGAACAATGCCTTATCTCATGCTACTCTAAAATCAACCAACAAATATTTCTCATCAGTCATTCTTACATCTCAATCATAGGATAATCTCAGCCAAAGCAAAGAAGCCTTAGTAAACAAACAAAAAAATTAAGGCAAGACTTTTTTCAAAGTCAGAGTTACAGAGAAGGAGGAAAAGATAGAGAAAAGAGATCTTCCATCTGCTGGTTCACTCCCCAGGTGGCCACAACAGCCAGGTATGGGCCAGATTGAAGCCAGGAGCCAGAAGCTTTATCCAGGTCTCCGATGTGGGTGGCAGAGGCCCAGGCACTTGGCTACCTTCTGCTGCTTTCCCAGGCCTTTAGCAAGGAGCGGCCCAGACACAAACCCGTGCCATTGTGCCACAACGCTGGCCCTATTAAGTTTTCAAATAAACAGTGGAAGTGCTAAAAATTCCAATACTGCACAATGCTTTCAACTGACATAAAGTCAAGTAAATGTTTAAAGTGGAAAAAAATCATGAAGATTAGAAAACTAAAAATGAGTTTTCACTTCTTTGGTTTAAAAATAAAGTGAGTTCTGAAGAGGAAAGCCTACATGAAGTGGATGGAGGTGTTCCTATCACAGTGGATTCAAAGGAGCAGGTGCTATGAAGACTGTGAGCAGACTCCCAGGGGGCTTGCTGTCAAAGTGCTCCACACCACAGACAACACACCCTAACCACACTTCATGCATCCAAAGGGGTGAAACCAATTTGGAAAAACAGCATCTTGAGACGTGCACAGTATATTAATTTGGGCAAATTAAATCTGTGCCATCCTTAGGATATAATGCAAGACACAGTCCACTGACCAGTCACAATTCCCCATTTGAATAGGCCTGCTTGTTATTTGCTTTTGAAGCTTTCAATATACTCTTGGGGAGGGGTGTCTAAATTTATTCACACATCAACACAGATTATAACACTCAAGCAATCTGACTGTGATCCAGCCAATCAAAGGACCTTATTGTCCATTATCTCTGTTAGGTATGAAGCGGACTCCTGTCAACTCACCACTATCAACCCTTCTACACAGGTAGGCGGCTGGCCGACACATAGCATTTTGTTTAGACACATACACTTGCCACAAACCTACCATTCAGGCATGCGTGGGAACATGGTTGCTGACTTTTTAAATTTTCTTAAAGAACGTTATTCATTCTAATAAAATGCAACACAAAAAAAATGCAGTGTTCAATACATAAAGATCAAAGTGAAATAGTCCAGTGGCAACTCCTTGTTACTAAATATTCATAAGACTTAACGTGCATCAGAATATCAAACCCCACACAGCTACACCAGGGCAATAGTTATCCAAGTTCCCGAAGTTCTAGAATGTCTCCCGCCAGCAGATACCTACTACATTTCTATGTCCACCTAGGTCAGCTAAGGTGTTCTTGGGTAGTCAACACCACAGCTTACTCCCAACTTTAAGCACGTGCCAATCCTCTCAATGAGTCAAAATACAGACAAAACTGTCTTTTCCTCTTTCCCAGACTGGAAACAAAATAGCCATGCGCCAAGTCCCTGCCAAATAGCAACACATTTCACTGCCCTTACAAAAACACATAACTGTCATTGTGAATAAAAGCCACGTGTGCAGCTAACCGGAAGCACTGCTTTCTAGCCAAGGACAAGGTGTGTCTGAATTCCTGGTTTCAGGGGCATCCTTCGCATGAGACACACACACACACACACACACACACACACACACACACACACGCACGCGCGCACAAAATCAAGTAACATTAGTTCTTGTAAATACAATGCCAATGGCATGCTAATTAACGTCTTCACCAGACAATGACAGACAGGGCTTCAGGACCACGGGCCATGTCATTATGTAAGTGCAGTACACATTAAGCAATCGCCAGGATGTAGACAGGCCCTGCAGAAGGAGTGATTATGGTTTACCGGGACAAGAGGATGTGGTGGTTCACTTAATCACGCTTTCACCTACAAGCAGGTGTTTACCAATGTCAAGCAAAAAAAAAAAAAACCAAAGCACCAATGTGCACAGATCAGCATAGGGCGCCTTTTCTGTGATTAAGCAAGTTTTTCTGTACATCTTATTGTGGATCCATTTACCAAAAAAAAAAAAAAAAGTCAAAACTGACACCTTCAAACTAGACCCTATTTCAACAGAATAAGGTCAGCGCTCTGGAACTCAGGGAGAACACTGAGTGAAGGTGCGTTTGGGGAAAGTGTTCTGGTCTACAGCAGATTTTCCCGGGCCTTTCCAGAAATACACAGGGTGCAGAGGAAGCGGGACAAGTGGAAGCAAGGCTTCCACAGTGCTGGGTAGGAACCGGCTCGGCCCAAGTGAACTGAGACTGCAAATCCCCAGGGCAGAGCCACGGGGGCTCTGAACCAGAGGCTACAGACAGGCGGCAGGCAGGATCTATCACAGGTCCGAGAACTTGCTAGGACGGCTCCCAGCCTGCTCCAAACCCTAGCCATGATATTTTTTTCCCCCAGGGCAGACCCTAGTGGGGGCAGGCACGCCAGCCACCTGACACCCCACCCAAGAGTAGCAAAAGATCCTTCCTGGAGTGGTCATACTGGAGTGGGATACTCTTCAGTGTAGGCGCACCTGCCAGTGCAGGGGCTGCCAGGACCCCCGCTGCTGGGAAAGGCAGCCCAAGGGCCAAGTGCCACCACCACAGCAGAGTGCCAGCTGCTCCCTCCCCACTGCACCCCTCCCCCGCCATCTCCCTGCAACACCCTGTCCATGTCGTCCACGGATGCATATCCCCAGAACACACAGCCACTCTGCGGGATGAGGGCTGAAGGCGCCTTGCCGCTCCTCCCCAGAGGTCTGGCAGGTGCACAGCCACTAGAGCGGCAAACACAGAGAGGGACTCCTCCTCACCAGAAAGCACTGTCCAAGTCGTCCCCTACAGCCCCCCCCCCCCCCCCCCGGGCTCGCTTACCTCCTGAGGGGCCTTGAGCTTGTCACCATCTCCCTCCGACACAGCAGTCCCACGCGTGGCCATCATTTCATCGCCAGTGACCAAGAGGGGTCCAATCCACTGGGGTCCACATTGGAGGCGCACAAATGTCACCCCGCACCCAGAAGAGAAGCGACTTCACAGCAGGCTCCAAGGACAGGCAGATTCCTCCACCCCTGCCCCGTGGTGGGGGGCTGAGGGGGTTCGGTGGCCAAAAGAACAGAGGGGTTTCTGCGGAGCCCCTTGCTGGATACAGAGTTCAACTCCCCTCACCGGCTGCTTGCATCTCGGTTGGCTTGGAGGACACAAAGGCAGCACTCCGGACTGCTGCAGCGGAAAGCTGGGGTTCCCTTCTCTCGAGTGTCCAGGGGTGTCGGCCAGGGTCCCCAGTTGGCGGCAGGAGCTGCTTCCTGCAATGGGCAGAGGTGAAAGGCCATGAACTTTCCCAGACGCCGCTCCCACCCTGCAGCCCTCCCTGCCACCTGGGTACACCTGGCTGCCTCCCTGCTTGCGTGCTTGTCCCAAGCACCCGGAAGGCTCGCAGGAGCTTTGGGCTCTGGTCAAACGCAAGCTGCCTCCCTCCTACGGCCGCTTCCCCCTCCACCCTCACACAAATAAAAGAGACAGCCTGTTATAGCAGAGAGGGGAACAACAACAACAAAAAAACAATCCTCAAAAGTGCACGGGGGGGGGGGGGGGCGTCAAACACGCCAGGCCACCGAGCAGCCTTAAAGGAGGGGAGATATTTAAAAAAAAAAAACCCTCTCGCCTGTCCACCCGACCCAGTTCAAGTGCATTTTAATCAATGCATTTCCTAGGCAGAGCAGAGCACAGCCAAGGAGCACCTTCTTTTGCCCGGCCCCGAAGAGAAGTGTAAAGCACAAGGGCTCCTTCTCCAACATCCACCTCGTTCCCCACCATTCCTCTCCAGAAAACACACCAAAATCCGGGCTGGAGCCAGGGCCCGGGACCGGGGTGGCTCAGTGGCTGCTGCCGGTCCCTGCAGAGGCCGCCCGCTGCTCCCTCGGCCCGCGGGCGAGGCAGGGTGGGGACGCGGCGCCGCGCCCGCCCGGGCTCCAGTGCAGACCGTAGCCAACCACAGAAATGACCCTCTCCCCTCCCTTGTACAACTCCATCCACCGCCCCCCCAACCTGCGACCACCTGGGATGTTGGAGAAGAAGAGAAGAAAAAAAAATCCGACAGAAACTCAACCCTCCCCCTCCCACCCGCCCACCTACCCCTATTTTTCTTCCACCCCCTGCCTGAGGCTGGCCGGGAATCTCGCGCTTTCGGGAAGAACGGCCCCAATCTGTGCATATATTTACATATACATAGATATACGTAGATAAGATTCTTTTTTTTCTTTTCCCTAAGGTGCAGGGAGCGACCACGGAGGGGAAAGGACGGAGACCAGGGGGCTGCCCTCGCGGCCGGCAGCGGGCCAGCAGGAGCCGGAGCGCGGGGCCCGGCCCGGCCGCGCTAGGCCGCAGGCTCGGTTAATATTCATGAGAGGCCCCGGGGGCGCCCCTCCTCCACGGCCGGCCGGTCAGCCGGACCCGGGGCGCCCGCCGCCGGCCTTTGTGCCCTTCCCTCCGCCCGGACGCCCTCCCTGGCTGCGCACACGCGGGCGCGGCTCCCCGGGGCCACCGTGCCCCGGCCGCCGGCTCCCCCTGCGGCCCCGCGCCAGCGCCGGACGCGGGGTGGCCTGGAGGTGGCGGGAAGGGAGAAGGAGCCCGCTGCGAGCCGGGCTCCCGGCCGACCCGCGGAGACGGAAAGGAGGAACAGACACGCACCGGAGCCGGAGAAGGAGGAGGAGGAGGAGGAGGAGGAGGAGGAAGCGGGGCGAGCGTCCCCGCGCCTGGCTGCCCGGCTGCCCGGCCCGGGGCGGGGGACGACAGCGCGCTCCGCACGCCCGGCGCCCCGCGGGAAGGACGATCCGCCGCCGCCGCGCTCCGAGGCCGCCGCCGCCCCCGGCCGGCCGCTCCCAGGCACCGCCGCGACCTGCCCCGGCCGGCCCCGGGCTCTCTCGGCCGCCGCGGGAGGGCGTGGGGCGGGGCGGCGGCCGCCGGACTCTTCCCCCTTTGCCGAGGCCGGCCCCGGGGCCCCGTCCGGGCGCCCGCCGATCGCCAAGTGACACCGACGCCTGGCTGCGGCTGCGGCTGCCGCGCCGCCGAGCTGCTTTCTTTCTTTTTTTTTTTTTTTCCCGGGGGCGGATTTCTCGCTTCTTCCTCTCCCTGGATCCACCTCCTCCCACTCCACCTCCTTCCCCTCCCCTCCCCAGGGGAGGCTGTGGGGCTGAATATTTTCTGTCTTGAATAATACGGTCCCCGGGAGCCCGACGCGCGAGCAAGGGGGGATTAGAGCGGAGGGTGGTCGCCGCCTCCCGCGCCCCTCGCCTCCTCAGCCCCGGCAGGACCCGGGGAGCGCCGGCGCCTCAGGGAGGTGGAGGTGTGGGGTGTGTGGGGGACACTCTCGGGCAATTGGCGCTCCCTTTTTATTTTTTAATGTTTTATTTCCAATGAGAAGGGAGCGGAGCGGCGGCGAGGCGTGGGACTTGTGGCTGAGGGAGTACCCTCGCGCTCCCGCCCGTTCGTTCTCTGCCCTGGGTGCGAGCGAAGCGCGTTTCGTTCACTTTTGTTGTTGTTGTTGTTGCTGCTGCTGCTGTCGGGGAGCGGCAGCCGCGAGGCTTGTCCACCCGGGGCCGTCGGAGCGGCTCGGAAGCCGAAGGACACACCTCGTCCCCGCCGTCCCTTCCCTCACACACGGCTCCCGCGTCCCCGGCGCCGACCCCGGGACGCCCCGCCCCGCCGCGCCTCACAACATCTCCCGCTGCAAATGACCCAATCCGGAGACGCGACGGAAGAATGCGAGCCAATCAGGGGCTGCTGACTCAGGCCTCCCTCCGCCCTGAGCCCCGCCCCTGGCTGGAGGGCCCGCCCCCGCTGCGGCGAGGTGGGCGCCCCAGCCAGGGTCTTCGTGGGGCAGCCTGCGTGGCTGGGTGACCCTGTCGTCTGCCCCCTCTCCGCTCCTCTCTCTCCTGTTCCCCCTGCTGCTGCTGCTACTGCTACTGTCTTGGATCATTTTTATCCTGCCATCCGCACAGGGGCTGCCAGCTATTGTTGTCTGGTCAGCTGCCACCACCGTCCCATGGGAGAAGGAAGATAAAACAGGAGCAAGACCTAGAAATGAAGGGGTCTGCGATCCTCTGGCCCTAAAGACTTGGAGACACAGGTGCCGCCCAGCTTCCTGTCTAAGCACCCGCCCTGATGCTCCAGGGAGCTGGGGGTGCCTGTGTGCCCCAGAAAGGGACTCCTCTCACCAGGTCTTTTTTTTTTTTCCCCTGTGACCATGAAATGTGTAGGCCTGACAGCCGCTGAGTGCAACAGTCCACCGATAACCAAGGAGTGAAATACAGGCAGGGACCTCCAGGCCACACCGGTGACTGAGGCCTCCCACCCCCCCACCCCCACCCCCACCCCCGGCCCCTGCCATCTCCATTCTGTGTCTACATACTACTGAGTGAATTAACAAGAGAACAGAAATGCAAACTGTGGCTAGCAAGAAACAACAGCGGTAACAAAGCAACATCAGGTGCACCAAAGGCACCCCAGAGCATCTGCTCTGTCAGCCACTCGAGGGTGCCTGGGTGAACATTTTTAAAATAGACATTTTAGGAGTCTTGGTTTTGGAGGAGGGGAGGGGAAAGGTTTTCAGTTTAGTGGAAAAGAGTCCAGTATTGATGGTGGTGAAAGGGAAGTAAAATACGTCTGAATGTGTGACATTTCTGTAAAAGGTAACATGTGCGGACACAGATTACAATCCAGGGAGGCTGGCGCTGGTGTGGTAGGTTAAACTTCCACCTGCAGTGCCAACATCCCAGGCAGGCACCAGCTGGAATTCCGGCTGCTCCACTTCTGATTCAGCTCCCTACTAGTGCTCCTGGGAAGGCAGCGGAAGACAGCCCTGTCGCTCAGGTCCCTGCACTCACATTGGAGACGCCAGAGAAGCCCCAGGTCCTGCCTGGGACCATCCCAGCTCCAGCTGTTTGCAGCTGTTTGAGGAATGAACTAGCTAATTGAAGATCTCTCTTTTTTTTTTCTTTCTCTGTAAATCTTTCAAATTAAGTAAATAAATGAAAATTAAGATAAATTTTTAAAAATAGATGTTGATATATTAATAAGTAATAGTAGATCCATTAATTTAAAAAGACTACATTTTACAAGAAATCCTTTTTTAACAAAAGATTACAACCCAGGTCCAGATGTTACCTTGTAACTGAGAGCAAACTGTGACTTCCTTAGACAACTTCTAGAGCTGGCGAGTTGATTAGGGCCTGACAGTCTGTGACTTCAGAGCCCGCCTCCTGCTAGTGTTCTTCAGGGTGAGAGGCAGAGTTCATCCTATTTATCACAAAGCTAAATTCCCTCTCTTGCAGATTTCCATCTGCTGGGTCTCTCTCCAAATGGCTGCAACTGCTAGAGCTGGGCTGGTCCGACGCTGGGAGCCAGGAACTTCTTGCAGGTCTCCCACGTGGGTTGAGAGGTCCCAGGAGTTGAGCTGTCCTCCACTGCCTTAGAACCAGTGCCCTTATCGGATGCCTGCAGAGCAGCTCAAGGAGAGCTCAAGAGTGAGAGAGAAAGAGATTCTATCTGTTAGGCCTCGGGCTTATAGGTGCAGAGGCTGGGAGTTAGAGCTCAGCTCAAGCCTGGCTTCCCATCTGAGTGGCTATGGCACATGTATTTAAGTCCTCTCTCGCTACCTCCAGGATACACATTAAGAGAAGCCAAGCTACAAGTTTTCACTGCTGTGGTGCAGGCCGGCCCTGTTGTGTGTATCTAATGTATGGGATGCAATCTAGATGGAGAAGCACAGAGGGCACATGATGAACATTTGGGAAATACGGGACCCAGTGCCCTGCTTGGGCCTCTGAGGGTGACTCTCCCTCTCTTGCTGGGTGACTTGAGAATAGCACATGAGATAATGGTGTAAAGCATGAGGGCTGGCAATGTGGCTCAGCAAGCTAATCCTCTGCCTGCAGGGCCAGCAACCCCTATGGGCCCTCATTCGAATCCTGGCTGCTCCACTTCTATTCCTGGGACAGCAGCAGAGGATGGCTCAAATCCTTGGGCAGCTGCCCACATGGAGACCCAGAAGAAGTTGCTGGTTCTTCGCCGAGGATCGGCTCAGCTCTGATTGTTGCAGCTATTTGGGGAGTAAACCGGAGAATGAAAGATCTTATTGTCTCTCTCGCTCTCTCTCAATCTGTCCTCCTCTCTCTCTGTAAACTTGCCGCGCAAATAAAAAGATTTTTTTTAAATCATGATCTCAAGGACGAGATTATTATGAAGCAGGAATTGGCCAGTTGTCCTAGCAGGAACCCCACTCGTGATAACCTACTGGTATTTATTAGGGACATGTGAAGCTGAGTAATAGCAGGCAGGAGCAGTAAAAAGGTGTTAATGCAAGTGTGAGCTCTCATTTGGATGCTTCCTGCAGGGCAGCAGCCAGCGACGCATGGGCTTGCAGTGTAGCTGGTACAGGCACGTCTTCCCACTTGTCTTCAGCAGCCATCCTAGGTGGTTCACTCAGGAACACCTCCATGGCAGGAGGGCAAGGAATAGAAGAGGAGCTGAACGTGGATCTTGCCAATAACCAGTTGACAACTCCCGTGAGCGATTTGGGGGCGATGGGGATCATTGAAACCCAACGGAGGTTGGATAGTTTCAGGGTGGATAGTTTTCATTTTCTTTATCCCAAATATCATAGGTAAGCAAAGCCTGTGGTCATTCTAGCTGTGTTGACGATGAATGGCTGCCTCCCGAGAGTGCTATCAGGGCTCCTAAGCATCTATTTCCCATCACCTACCTTTCTTAGACTGTCCCTTGCCGCAGCCAGAGAATTGACTGCAGTACTAGCAACCTGGCCACCATACACGCTGTCCTTCTCACCCTGGGAGCAAGACAGTTCCAAAGGTGGGATCTGCTTCCTCAAAATGCAAGGTTCATCTTGGTACATTACCTAATGATACTGCTTTGACAATCTATTATCAAGGGAAAATGTCAAAGTCAGAAATAGAATGCTGGCTGCCCGGGCCCTGGTCAGAGGCCATCTTGTGATAACCCGAGCGTGATTGCCACTCCAAATATAGGAGCCAGTGGCACCAATGTTTGCCAGGGAATTCCATAAAGCTTGTCATTTGGATTGAGGCATTTGCCAAACTGTGTGTCCAAGGCAGAGGTCAGCTGTCTGCTGGTTCACTTCCCAAATGACTATACTAGCCAAGGCTGTGCAAGCTAAAGCCAGTCTCCTCCTGAAACACCTAAGTGGGTACATGCAGGGGGCCAATCAAATTGGCCCATCCTCTGCTGCTTTCCCTGGCACATTAGCAGGGAGCTGGATGGGAAGCAAAAACCATGAGGACTTGAACTCTCACCTACATGGAAAGCATGCATGTAAGGTAGCAAGGTCAACTGCTATGCCCCAACACTGGCCTCACAATGAAATCTTAAATAATCCTGTGCCCTCCACTAAGCATTTACTTTTTCTTCTCTGGACTAGAATATTAAAGTTTCTTTTGGGCTTGTGTGTGTGTGTGTGTGTATGTATTGCTATTACTTAAGTAAATTTAATAAATTTATGAAGTAAACTGTAAATAACTTCATAAATGAATATTGCAATGTTTTCTGTCTATATGACAAAATAATCTATGAGGCCTATTCCCAGGGGTTTTACTGCATTTCAGCTCCCACAATGCCTACATAACTACTACACATAGAAATCACCAAGTTTGGTCTGGCACATTGACTCAACTGGCTAATCCTGCGTCTCCAAGTGCCAGCATCTCTTAGGGACACTGTTCTTGTCCTTGGTGTCTCACTT